GCTGCATCAACCAGCCACCGTTATCTGAACTAAATAGAATTCGGTTCCTGAGCAGGATACTTACTCAGAGTTGCTTTCAGGGCGCTTTCACCTCCATCCCATCAGAGAGAAGTCCCGTTTCTGTCTGGATTCAGACTCAGACAGCAGGTTCAGCAGGTCTGCTCCTCAGACTGAAGGATCTGATGTGAGTTTGCAGACCGGGACCCGTGCAGGCCGGACGGTAACGGCACCGAGAGACACCCACACACTGGCTGCTCATTTATTTATCATCTGTCCTTCCCTCGAGCTTGGTTTGAGAGATTTTACCGGAGGATCCCGGATTCACGACCTCGGTCGTTTGCGGGGTTCTCCTTGGGAATTGTGCTGCCTTCACGTGCTGCTCGTAAAATCACATATTCAAGTTTTAAATTTGGACAAACGGAATAATGTCTTCTTTCTTCATCTTATAGCCTCATAATATCGTGATAGTGGTGGGAATTAAATTGGAACAGATACAGAAAATGTCTGTAAAGTTTTTTTGGGGTGTTTTTTTCCCAGTGTTCATCAACCTGCCTTTGTTTGGTAAAGTTGATCAGAAATAAATAAGAAAGAAATCCAAATTTCTTACAAAACAAGTGATTAAATGTCTTACCCAGGGTGTCAAATAGGTCCTATGACAAAAAAAATAATTATTGAAAGGCTCAAATTCACTTTCAGTTGCCTCTGTGGGCCTATAAAAAGGATTACTTGCCTACTGGATGTTATATAAGCAAAATGCATAGTAAAAACCATAATTTTTGGGAATACCAAACAAACTCATTCAACTAATATACCTTTTAAATCTGCAATCATCCTAAGCATTATTGTGTCGCTTGTTAGGATTATCCACAGTGCAAGTACAGTACAGCAGCTCAGGGCCCCCGATTATCACCGTGCTCATACAGTTTTGCATGTCAATAAGTGTGCAACATAGTCTAATTTCATTCAAAATATATTCAGAAAGGCAAAATTTCAAATGACATTTAAGAAATAGGCTTTAAAATGTAGTATGAAATGGTGTCTATCATGTACGTGTGTTATGATGAGCAGTTACGGGCCTACTGTAGAGATGTTAACAGAACGTTGTCGCTACATGCACAAGTTACAAATTGGACACTGCTGATGTCTTATGATGAAAGACTGCAGTTTGGTGGGGGTGACTGTTGGGGTCCATAATAGATTTTTAACCCAACCACACTTTGTTGAATTGTTCGTGGGACATTTATATTGTGGTTTTTCTATTTCCGACAGCAAGTGAAGGCAGCACTAACCATATGACAAACGCTCTCACTCTGCTCCTGATTGGCTCAGATGAAAAAAGCTGTGTGTGGCCACACTCAGCCCATATGTCCCCCTCCTCAAAAGGCGGAGATCCCGGATCATGGTGGTGTTCAGTCTCCATCATTCAGTCTGAGACCTGTGTGTGTGTGTGT